CTACCTCAGACGGCCCCGTCTCCATAGTGACATCTCTCACCAACGAGGACCTACCTCCCAAAGAGTCCAGCACCTGAACGGGGTGACACCACCATGAGCTCCTGACTCTTTTTTTTCTCTCTTCCCCAAATCCAAACTCAGCGGATCTCCGTGAATATTTAAACGCGTAGATACAGCGACAACTAGCAACTTGAATGCAGCTCATATTTAATCCCAATACTGGTATTTTTTTTAGTTTTTTTTTTTTTTTTTTCACTAACACATCCATCTGCTGTAGTGTTAAAGTAGTAATAAGTTATTCCATGGGCACATCTGATTACAGCTGTGTGTCAAATCCTAAATGTTCTCATTACCTCATGTATTTCTTTTTGTGTTAGTCTGTTTTGATTACCTCATGAGTTTGTCGTTTTGATCTCTTTGGTCATGATCGTCTGCGGCCAAATGAAAAGGAACATTTTTCGCTCCAAACCTCGGACGACGTGCTGCACACCTCGGAGGAACCCGTTTTGAGACTGTTAGACAAAATATATTCATCTTCCTCAGGGGTCGAAGCTTCTCGATTTAAACAAAAAAAAAAAAAAAAAAAAAAAACTTCAAGTGTGCTCCCTTACTTTAAACCTGCGAATGCCTCAGATCGAAAACGTCAAGGTAAAAAGAAAGCGGAGCACTGCTGTTTGAACGCAAGAACAGGAGCTGAAGCGTGAGCTGAGCAGTTGTTATCGGACGTTTCTGGACTTTTTTTCTTTTTTTTTCTTGAAGATTTGGGACGTGCGTCTTGTCCCCGGGGGAACTACCTCTCAGGTATCCAGTAGGCTTCTTTGGAACATTTTCTCTATGATGAGAGCCAAGCTATCCAGCTAGCTACCATGGACATATTCCTGGATTGTTCTTTGTTTTTAATTGTAGAAAAGCAGAGTTACTCCTTGTGCCAGGGGCATTGACGGATGCTGTCTGAATTTGCAATGTTACACATTCTTGATTTTTAACTATCTGTGGTTGAGTGTGCGAGCGAGCGTGTGTGTGTGTGTGTTTGAAGACTGAATGATGTGAGATGGATAAAAGAGTGTTTTTAAATAAGAATCATGGACGGATATTGGGGGGGGGGGTTATCCTTGCGAGGGCCATACTTGAGTAAGCAACATGTCTGTTTATGTTTTTATTTTTATTTTATTTTCATGGGTTTGTTTTTTTCAATAGACTCAGTCGGACATCAGTCCCAAGATACCTCAGTCACCGTACGTCATGCAAGGAGAGCTCAAATGGTTGCCTTTGTCTCAAATGCAATGCCATAGTTGTACCATAACATGAAAACCATACATTGAATGTCCGTTATGCTGCTGTGACTATTCCAGGATACTCAAGGATTTGTAGATGTACATGTATTCTTTGTTAATATAACGCTAATGATATTATGTGAGGCTAATATTCTGTTTCTTTTTTTTTTGTGACTGGGTGAGCTCTCAGCTGCTCACTCCTCAAGACTGACCTCAGATATTCTGACAAGTACCTCAGGCTTTTTTCTACATGTATATCAAGTTGTGTTATATATTTTATTGTGTTTTTAGTAGTTGAGATATTTTATTGCCGGTTTTGGCCTCTTTTGTCTGTGGAGATTTTTTTTTTTTTTTATAGAGCCTGACTTGCTGTCATGGTGTTAATGCTGTACAAACCTTATAAAAAAAAGAAGAGAGGCAGATTCTTGTAAATAGACGTGTACACACAGTTGCCGATCACTGATCTAACCGTGCGATATCAGGGCGTCACTTTTCTCATTTCACAGAAGCAGAAAGGGATTTCTCAATTCCACATTTACATATTTAAAAATAATTTTAACAACAAGCCCTGGGACGATTCTTTTTTATATTTGTGTATATATATATACATAATTATATATATATATGAACATTTTTTCTTCAGATTTTTCAAGAATGGTGGTCGTGTTACTGATTTCTATGAATACTGGTGTCAGTTGCTCTGGATCAGAAGCTGTGTAGGTAGCACTTGCAGTAGAAATCTTAGTGTGTATATCATTCAAAAACAAACATTCAAAAAAAAAAAAAACTGACGGTTTTGGTGCTGGGCGGCTTCTGTGATTGGCCACTTGCTGGAAAATGCCAGTTTGAACAGTATTACCTCATTATTAACCCGCCGATGTGATGTTCAGACTCGTTCAGTGATAGTTTTTAGCCACGTTGGACACACGCAGGCTCATCTGTCGTGCTTCGATTAGTGCTGTGGAGAGATGGTGATATTTTTTAAGAGTAATCTGTGACGCTTGCTGTGCAGTTTTTGGTGAAGAACGTGTGATAGGGAGGGGGAGGGGGGCAAATACATCCATGACTACAGAGCAATGTTTTTATTGTTTTGGGTTATCGTCAGTGTGTCTCCAACCACACGACTGATTGATGATGCAGCCCTGTTCATGCAAACAGTGGCATGAGCGTGGCTTTGAGGTCCAGCAATATTTCTTAAACAGCAATATTCACTTGAATATCATAAGTTTTCAGTCATTAACCCAGCTGTGACTTAGCAGTTGTCTCTCTGCCGATCATCTTATCACATCTGGATCATGTTTGGACGAGTACACACAATGTTAAAGCCCGTCGATGGGAAAACAAAAAGAAAAAAACGCTTTAGGTTGTGTGCGGGCTGAACATGACCCCGGTGCTTTCACGTTTTGTGCCAGGAAAAAAAAAAAAATACAACAATCTCGAAGGAAATATAATCCGCCGCGATCAGTTGTTGACCTCCAAATGCTGTCTTACACCCAGCTCTTCTGAATGGAAAAAAAAAAACCAGTTACCTCATGCAGTACCTCTCGTTAGTGACACTAACATGGAGTCAGTCTCATCTTCACAAAAAAATCAGGAAAAAAATATCAACTATTGTGTATATATTTACTTGACAAATCTAAAAGGTTTCTTCCTTTTCATGTGAATCCTGTGAAAGCAAAATCCCCCCCCCCTCCCCTCTTGATTTACAGTCAACATATTGTTCATTTCTCGTGGTGTGACTGTCGGACTGAATTGTGTGACCTTCCCTGTTCATGTGAATGTGTGCGTGCGGGCTGTTGGTTGGATTTCACTAAAACAGTATGAATGGTAACTTTATCTGTGAGTTGAAATGCTTAGAAATATAAACTAGATGAGAATACATCCATCTTTTTGTATATTAAAATAAAGACAAACACTGATTAACCATGGACTTGCAATTCTTTGTTGTTGGACATTTTCCCTCATAACAGGTGTAGCATTGAACAAGAAAACAACAACCTGGAATTGATAGAAAGGAGGATGCTAAGATGAAACAACTGGCAACTAAATAATGCCATAAGAGAGCCTGCTTGTGCTGGTTTGTCTTATGTTTTGTTTAGTATAGGATACATTTCTCCAGTGTTTTTAGCATACTGTAAGTGTAGATTTGAACACTAGATGGCAGCAGTGATGCCATTAGTTTGTTTATGATTTTCTCAGACAAAAACCCCTGACCCATGTTCTTAAACTACATACTAGTCTCATAAAACATGCAATAGATATGCTTAATTGTGCAAATGACAACACTATGCTTCTCTTCACAGACTGCAACATGTTTTACCCCCCATTACTAAATTATTTATTTGTTTTATTGTTGCTCTTCTTGCAGAGATGCAACTCCGAAGTTGTTTTTGTACCTTGCATAATGACATTACATTTTATAAATTTCTATTCAATCAAAACGTTAATGAACTAAGATAAAGGTCATCATTCATTTCAATCAATCAGTCAATCAATCTTTTTTTGTAAAGTGCCAATTCATTGCAAATGTTCTCCGAAGACACTTTACAGAATAGCAGGTAAAATACCGTATTCTTTGTTTGATTCATTATCCTGTTCAGACATAAAAAGACATGAAACAACACAATATAGTCCAGTATTTTTTTTTTAAATCTAAATGTCATTATTTAGGCCTATAATATGAATAATAACTTTATTTGTGGAACTCCTAAAGCCCTCTCCATAAAACAAGAGTACAATAACAAGAAAAGAGCACATGGTGACATTATAAGGTATGCAAGTACAGCTATAAAACAACACAATCCTATACTAATTCAATGTGTTTCATCTTTAACAATTATCTGATTATTTCTTTTTTTTTTTTCCTGTTGTGTCTGCTACAGAGTCTTAAAGTGTTTGCAAGACTTAACCATGTGAAAATAACGACGATTTATTTATAGAACTGGTTTCCTCCATGGTGTACCCAGTTTAAACTTTGAAGAAATGCTATAACTATTGTGCCAACCATCTCTATATGCATCATCTCTCTCTACAGCAACACTACTTAGGCTATAAAAAGTGGCATTTGAACTGACCATACTTTGTAATTGGGGCTTGATCATCACCAAATAAGTGCTAAATGTAAAATAAATGAGTAGAGAAATAAGGAATTATTAAATAGACTTATTTCCTGTGCGCGCTTTTGTGCCAAACAATCTACTGATAACTCCACTAAGCCAATACATTATGACACAATTTAGCAATTTGTGTGACACTGTGGAGTAAAAAAAAATGCCAAGGTGTAGCACACTTCACCTGTCACGTAAATTGAACAAATCTAACATGCTGATTTATTCCATCCTGCGTACCAGAAATATCACCACTCAACTCTACTCCGCTGTTTTCAGCTCATTCAAAGGTCATCGGGCAATCTAACTCCAGGTGTTCAGCTTGATAACGCGATAGCAGGGCTCTTAGATTTTACTATCTCAACAGAGTGGGAGGCAAGAACATCGTTTATATTAGGCATCCGTACAAGTTAACATTAAAAAAAGACGCTACGCCGTAATGGCAAGATCACCATGTAAAACCAATCTAGTGCAATCAGATACAGAAACATCCGTCAGCACGTGAAGGCATCACAGCTCCATTCCGTTTGAGGCGGAGCTGACCAATCAGAACGCGTCTTCACCGTCATGTGACACAAACCGACTAGTAATTTACGATTGACTTGAGAGCTTGCTGATTTGTAGACTACTTTTCGATGTACAGTCACTCAAAGCGGTCAACTTTCAGGCGTTGTTGCAGTTTGTTTTACCTCTCGGAAAAGCCTCTGGGTTCCCGCAAGCTAACTTGAGGAAAGTTTTGTTCGGATATCGGGGCCATTATGTCGGTAAACTGTCAAACAGGTGAGTTAAAAAAAATAGACTTTTTTTGGCTGGGAACAGCAAAGCAGTTTATGACCCGGGTCGACAGTTTTGTTTTTTTCCAGCAGCATCCTCATTGTAAAACTGTCCACAGAGAGAGACTTGTTATCGATGTCTTTTTGTAAATTTTGTATTTGCCTCCTGTGATTTTTACTTCTCTTTGTCTTTAAATTGTATTTATAGTATTGTCTTTTTCGTTAAATGTGTGGGAGCGCTTAAGGTATTGACAGTAAGGTAATTGTACAAACTAACTAGGTAACGTTTACGTGTTAGTCATTGTACGTAACGTAAACAAAAAAATATATATATATATTATTATTCTAAAAGAAAAGAAAAGAACTAATTAAGAAAGTGTATGTTATGGAAGGCAATTGGTTCATAAATATGTTTTTGTTATCTCCAAAATTAGTACTACAAAAAAAAAGTAGTTTCTAATTTGAAAAGTAGAAAGAAAGACGTGACTATCTTAGAAAGTAGATTAGATGGATTATTTATTTATTTTTGGATGGTTTGTTTTAGGTCCTCTGGTTTGAGTGGTTATTACAGATGTAGTATGTCTTTAACAGTACCGATTTAACTGTGTGGATTTATGAGTTTTGGAGGAGAGACCACCCACACATGTAATCATCTTCTTCACCCTGCATTCTCTCTTGTGTCTCGTTTCAGCCATCCAGGGACCGGGGCAGCGTGGTGACTTCAGGAGTTAGTTTGCCTGCTGCACCACCTGGAAAGGGTGGCAGCTGCCGTGGCTGCTGGGATGCTAAGGAAGAGCAGCAGCCACAGTGGTGGTGTCGATGGTGGTGGTGGTGGGACGAAGTATACCCAGAGTGTCCCTCGATACCTCTCCAAGCCCCATACAGGGTCTTTGTCGGCTGGATCCACCAAGCCCTGGGACATTGGACGCAGCTCCAAAAGCCAAAATCCTCTGAGCAGCATGGGGCTGACGTCACACCCAGTGGGGGCCCCAGGAGTTGACCCAGAGTATGTGATGCAGCTGGTGAATGATGTACGGTGGTTCGCTGATGTGTTGCTCAACCTCAAGGAGGCTTTACAGTGTAAAGGTGAGTTTGAGCAGGGAGATGGAATGTGGAGGTCAGGGAAGTCCAACGTCATATAGTTACACTGTAGTTGAAAGAAAATCTAGCTTGGGATATTTGACATATTCAGTGCAACACATTTGTTATTTTCTGAATAAGTCCTCTGATGACATTTTTTTTGCCAACATTTTCTTCAGTCTGGATTCCTTAAATATCCAAGATTGACATACATTCAACAGACCGCAGATAAAGGTGGGGGATGTGTTGCATTCAAGTATACATGAAAAAAATTACCTTCAAGAAAGTTAGACAATTTCCACATGATTTAAAACTTTGTTTGAAATTGAAAGTGTTTTGCTCCGCTGTCTATGGACACTGTGTCTCTAATCTATCTCTGCCATGATGGATTTCTCCATCTCTTCTCTGTATTTGTAGTCACTTTGTCTAGAAAGGAACCCTTGCTCTTTGGACTGAGACACTGTGTTTAAAATGATCTGCCAGCAAATTCCATTGTAGATACAAAGGGAATGTATTGAAATTTCTCTGTTTGGCAAGTTTCCCACAGGAATTTTTGCTTTAAATCATACTTTATTTATCACACACTTTCTCTTTATTAAGCTGTCACAATCATCCACAAAACTCAGTCGTACTACCCATTCATTTTTTGGATTACATATCAAGGTATACTGTGTGTGTTGTTGAGATGTTACAACGAAAGCCACCTGTGGAGTGTCAGTTGAAAGTGTGACAACATCAGCCTCAATACTTATGTGCCCAAGTGCTTAGGGTGTTGCTAATGTCTCAACGTCTACACCCACAGAAAGTACCACACACAGACATGCAAAGAAGGCAGACACCATGCCAGTCATAGGCTACTTACTTTCTTTTCTCACTTGGTTTTGATGGCTTTGCTCTTGTTTGCGGACACATACAAACACTCCACCCACGCTAACACTCATGTAGTGTTTAACAAGGCTTACCGTTGTTTGTGTATTACTGTATGCTTGTTTTCTGTATAGTGTTTTCGGTCTATTTTTCATGAATAATTACAACACACGCTGACAAACAAGGAACAGTGGAGTGTATCATACAGTTCCCTTCTTTTCTGTTGTTAAATAATATTCTGTCTGGAGACCTCAGATTGAGCTTTTTGGTGTTTTTATCATCCCATTGGAAGAATTTCACTCTCCAGAATTAATAATGTGAGACTGCTACTTGTTCAACTACTACTATTACTACTGTCCTTCCAAAAGATGTCCACACACACACACACACACACACACACACACACACACACACACATATATACAGTATCCACCCATGCTGGGCTCTAACTGCAGCTGCAGACCTGGCAATGGGAGTGAGTTGTTTAGCCATTCCTCTGGCTGGAGGAGTGAGGCCTCTGTGAGTGAGACTTTGCCTGCGCCGTGCTGAGTCTTTCTCTGAGTCTTTCACATTTATAAGAGTGCGTTAGCATGGTTCTAATTCTGGATGTGGGGATGAAATCATGCCACATGACCTTAAAATGTCATTCAGCTATTTGCCATTTGGATTAGTGGTTTATTTCTTTTATTCTTCTCTCAGACTTGCTGACACAAGCGATTTAGTAAAACAAGTCATGCAAGTTGCTTCTACTATAATGTGGTTTGCTGTCCGGCCAAAAGTAAACATTGAGTCATGTACTTAACTTATTGCTAACAAACACTGGTGGAAGATGGTCACAGTTTAAATCAAATATGTTTTGTTGACAATCTTAACATTACAGATATACTGTAATCTGAGACTGCCAATATCAACAAAGCAAAAATACTGACACTTTTATGCTTTTGAGCATGTTGTCTGAACTTTTGAGGAAGTTTTTTTTCAGAGGCCTATTTGTTAAGTATTGTTAGTTATCTGTGTGATTGGCTCTACTGGAGCAATCCTGTAAGCTGTCTCCTAAAGAGACAGGTTCTCACCTTTTTTGAAGGTCGTGTGTTCAGTGAGGATGTTTTTGTAAGTGGTTTCGCATGACCTCATATTCAGGCTCACAGTCCTTTATGACGTTATACTTAATGGTGACTTGATAATCATAACCTCTTTAGGAAAGGCTCCAATTTTTCAAACATTTTTAGATAAACTAAGATTCTTATTAGTATATTTATGTCATTGTTTGTGTTACCTCCGCAAACTGGATTCAATCAGTGACTCAGTGATCTGTTGAAGGGGTCAGAGGGCTTACTGCAACAGTCGGAGATCTCTTCCTCACTGTTTGTTTTCTACTTTCTTACTGTTTCTATTTTGATAAAGGCACACTGAATGATCAAGAACGACTGTTAAACACAGTTACCCAGGATGTGTTCTATCAATCGAAGTTGCTCAGTTTGAAAAGAACACTTCAGCTTGAATTGAATTCCCAAAAGAGGCCTCTTTTTTGTCAAATAACATTTAATCAGAACGTTCATGAAGCAAAAAATGATTATGGTTAGAAATAAGTGTTTTTTTTCATCAAACCCCTTTTGCTCACTTGAGGGGAGGAAAATTACCACACAGTATTATTAAAGAGATCTAAACTGTACTTGAAAAAAAATCAAAAAATTTTACCGGGATAGTTTAAGTGGTGTTTGTCATTTATTTACTTATTGTGTACTGTGATCGTACTGTCGATATTGTTTGTTGTGTGTATGAACTGACCAGGTGATAAATGAGTTTCCTCACCTGGGATCAATAACGTTTTCTAATCTAATAAGCAGAAATAAACCTTTATACTCCTCTCCTAATACTGCTATTGTGCAAATTGGAGTATGGGTTCACTTAGCCTGACAGCTACCGGTCTCTATAATGTTGGGGAATACTACAGGGTGTTTGGACCCTTTCAGGAAACAAATTCAAGCAGTGTCACCTATAAAGACGCCTTCAACTTTTTTTTTTTTTTTTTTACAAAATGTAGCTGTTGCACATGTCCTATTTCTTCATCTGGTAGTTATGGAGGCAGGTTGGAGGTTAGCAGGCATGCCAGCTCTGGTGTTATTCTTTTAATATTTGGAAAACCCTGTCACTGGATTGCTGTGTGAAACTGATATTGTGCTTTTTTTTTTTTTTTTTTTGCTGAAAGGCATGCACCCTGTTGTGATCTGGCGGGTTAGTATTGTTTTTTGCAGAGAGAAGGGGTTTGACTCAGTGTGTGTTTCTCATAGCGCCGCCCTTATACAGAGAAAACATGGAGAGTTGAGCTTGGACCATGCTTATTTTTCTTCTTATGGCACCCGCCAGTTTTTTTTAGCTGGAGGCACATGCACGCTGCATGTTTGGTTGATAAAAGCCCACAGGGGAACTCCATCAGTGGCAGTAAGCTGGAGTCAACTAGACCTGCTATGTCACACCCACAACTTCACACTTAGAGATTCCCCAGGGTCAAATTTGTGGTGTAGATTTACACTTTCACTCATAACTGTGCCCTCTGTCACACTGCTGCAGTAGTTGTTGCCCAACAATAGTCAGGCTGTCAAAGAATGTAACCCAGGAGAAGAATGTGCAGCTTATGAGTTTTGACTGAGTAGGTGACCCCTGTCCCCATCCCCAACTCCGACCCGCACATCTCATCACTCTGCATCACACTCGAATGAAATTTGATTGTTTTACCATAAGGTTTCCAAAAATGGCAAATTGTTCACATGTCATTATGTCAACAGGTTGCCCACCATAAATCATTATTATTGCCTTTAAAGGAAGCGGGAGGCCATAGAACAAAAACAGCAGGACTTTAGATATGAATACTACTTGTTGTCATAAATATAGACGTTTAACATTTTTCAGTTCCCACAAATGTCTGCTGTAAAAAAAAGAAAAGAAAAAAAAAAGAAAGCACAATAATAAAGAGATGCATCAGATCTCTCTTTAAATTCTTGTGGGATTTAACTTCTACTTGAAACCCTTTCTTCTCCTTATTATGTCTTTCTCTCATAACTCAAGTCACACAGTGAGCAGCTTCAATTCCCCTGATGGCAACATTACAAGCGTGCAATGGGAATAGTAGAAGAAGAAAAACAATAAGAAAAAGTCTGGGTTGTTTTCCTAATTCTTTATTTTTCATACCAGTGTGTTTGTTGCTCTGAAAAAAAGGCAGCTTTGGTTAATGGTTTAAATGGGTATGAAAAAGGAGTCGAGCGAGCTGCTGTCCCCCTCCCATCCCCCCACTCTCCTGCATACTCTGCATTCCTTTAGAACAAATGTTCACTTGTAGCTATAGTGCCTTCAATAGACTAATGTTAGGTGTAAGGCAAATTGGCTTTGAAATCTTGCACTAAAAATAATTTGTTTTTGATTTGTCCAAAGGGTTTATAGGCAACAATGTCAATTATTAAAGTTTGGAGTTAGAGAGAATAAAAAAAAAAGATGCCTATTTCTATGGGATCCAAGTGAAATATCTCTTGGCAGTCCTTGAGATGGTTTTAATGATTATATTGATTGACTGGTCCCTGCAGGAATCACAAGCGGTATAGCAGTCGTCTCGACACTTTGAAGAAATTATTCAAGTAGCTCCTTCCACACTTTATTTTTACGAAATGTTGCTGTTGCACATGTCCTATTTCTTCATCATTTTACATCCTTATTTTGCTTTTGTTTCTGAGGACTGCACAGGAACAGAAAAACTCTAGACCTCACCTAAAAATGTAGTTTGCCCTCATTATCAAGCCAAAGACAGTTTAGGAATGTGCGTTGGGAAATGTGCGGTGGAAGCTATGGATAGTGTAGAGGCCAAGAGGGCTGAACAGGATGAGGTTTTAACTCAAAATGTCTTTTGTAACAACAGCAGATAGCCATCAGGACACTGTCTGAAATTGAATTTCCTCCTATATAACTGGGCTAAAGGGAGTGTGGGTCACTTTGTTTCAGCTCTTTAGGCTCAGGTGGTAAAGAACAGGTGTGTGTTTCACACCAACTCTTTTATTGTTCCACTTCAGGGTAAAGCAAACATCTAACAAAATGGCTAAGGAACTTTTTTTTACTCCGGATAAATATTGGAACATCCCATCCCCCCCATT